AACGCGGGGCTGCTGGAGGGACAGTCGGTTTTACCTTGTAAACGAAAACGTGCTCGCCGCACTCCGGTCGCGCAAATTTTTCTCGTGTCGCGTGTCGAACGTCAATCGAACCGCTTATCAAACGGTTCATCGGTTTAATCCTGCCGATGCGACATGTCATGTGAGTAACTCGTCGCGCGTTTCTGACGTGTTATGGCGTGGAAGTGGTGGCGAACCATTGCAGTGGCATCGTTCTCGTCCGACGACACCGGGATATATTACCGCATTGACGATCAACTGTGTTGAGCCTCCATGGGAACATGAAGATACCACCCCTGTCATGACCCAGGTACGCGTACATCTTTTGATTTTTCATCATTTGTCAATGTATGCCGTTGCTTGCCAGATTTCGTAACAAGGGTTGCGTTTTATTTCGTTAAGTGCTTTTCTTTTTTGCGATTCGATGCTACATTGCAAATATATCAGGTATACAAGCTTCATTAAACGATTAATAAAATGTTTCGATATCTAAGATCGACGTTGATTAATTTGGTTTTCGATGAATGTCACAGTGACGTTTCAAATGTCATGTTGACAGATTTAACGAAGAAATGTGTTTTAAAAAGGTATTCAGTTAATCTTTAGATTATAAAAATTCATGGTATTTTAGGTTAGCTAATTTAAAGAAACTTTTTATGGTTAGTAATTATATGTAGATCGTGTGGTAGGATGCATCTGCAATCTGTTGGTGCATCACATAGCGTATAGGGGCATCTAGGAAGTATTTCACGAGATCAGTGACTCAGAGATGGTGTGTTTCTGTCTATTATTTTCGTTGAATTCGAGCAGTAGTCGGAGCTCGATGTTGTGCGTTATCGTAAAGGGGCTGGGCGTTCTTTTGAATGGTAGATTTCGGTGCCATTGACGCGCAAGGAACTCGGACAAATCGCATGAATGGGTAATGGCGGCACCCCAGGACAATAATTTTAGGTAGTGACATAAGTACGTATAGCGCTGCGATCGTTCCATTGATCTGTGTTACATCGAAGTCCACATTTCCTGAGTCTAGTAAAACGTTTTGCAAATTTCCATTTCGCTTTACAATCTATGTATGGTTCGACTTTATGCTCGATTAAAATAATGCAAACTTTTTTACGATTTTATAAAGTTATACCGACAGTATATCAATATCGAAGTAAGAATAAAATAGTTACTGTTTCAGGTTATATTTGTGCTTTTCCATCGTCCAAAGATTTCTTAAGTTTGGAAGAATTATGAAAAAGTTGTTAATGCACAAGAATTTCCCGTTTCAATTTCTTTGCCGAAGTTTCTCTTGAATTTTTTCGTTTGTTGAAACGAGAGCGAGATTAGGACGTAAAAATTCGTAGCCGGTTTAACAATTACTATCGGTCAATTTGTCAACTGCGTAAAAGTTGGTCGCATTTGCTTGCAGTCATGAGCGTCCACCTTGAATTACTTTTTATTACAGTGCTGCGCGTGTGTGATGTACGTACACGTATGACGTATGACTTTAACGTGGTACGTAATTCCTGTGTACTACGCGAACCATGTAAATTATTCAGAAGTAAAAGTAGCTTAAATATGGACGTATCGTTCATACTGGCAGAGTAATAGCGACCGTTCAACATGAATCGAACGATATTCTTTTACGCAGTAATTCAACAATTATATAAAATTCTTCTTCGTATCCGTATACTAACAATCTATTTAACTTGCGGAATATGCATTAAGAGGTTCGCCCTGAGTATTCTTGCAAAAGAATCTGCTATTCATTTTTTTCTATCATGATCCGGTTCTGTTCTACACTTTGTCCATGGATGATTTTGCTATGTTCGTATGTATGTAAAATTGTGTACGTATTAAAATTCGAACTGTGGCGTTTCTGTATAATCGAATATGGAGAAAAATACTTGATAGCTGGACAAATAAGTGGCATTATGCGCGATGACGTTCTTCGTTCGTAGTCCATTTCGGCTCACTATTTACCATATTTTATCTAGGGCGGCGCGGGTAAATCGATACGCGCTACTTTCATTCATGGCTGCTTCCCCTCACACGGCTAGCACGTTGCCTCTGCGTACCACCACTGACGAGCAACCTCCACAACCCCTTATCCCCACTATCGGTGCCACCACCACTATTTTGCCCATTAGTGGCTATCTCTGTTGCAGTGATTCTCAAATTCCTTCTCCTTTCTTGGTAGAATTCCTTCTCCTTGGCGCTTGATGACGTCATGGAATTTAGTCCTACGCTGTACTTATATATACGTATATATTCATGCATAGAAAGACCAACGTATTGAAATCGACGATTATAAGTGTACAGAAAAGTTGATAATTTTTTTTATAAATAAACTAATCTATTGTATATGTTATTATTCAATTAATTTATATACTGTCGTGCATTTACAAGAAAACTATCAGTTTCTTTATATTACTCGTAGCTCATCATAATTATAAATTAACGAATTTCTAAGAGATAATTATACATTTCAAAATCGGATTTAAAACGATTTTTAAAATTTGAATGCTTAAAAATTTGAAGATTCAAAAATGGAATAATTATTATGGAAAGTGAAATTAAAAGTT